CCTCCTCCTCCTCCTCCTCCTCCTCCTACTCCTTCTCCTTCTCCCTGTCCCTCTCCCTCTCGCTCTTCCCTCTCCTTCTCCCTCTCCCTCGCCCTCTCCTCCTCTCCTCTTCTCTCCCTCCTCCTCTCCTCTTCTCTCCCTCCTCCTACGCTGCCACCTCTTCCTCCTCCTCCGCCGCCTGCTCCATCCAATCACACAATTTGAATACTACTCTCCTCTCTCCCCCGAAGGCCCGAGGTCGTAGCCCGCTCCCCTCCGCGTATTGTTTTTGAACCATGGGATTCCCCCGAAGGTGGTGGATTATATGATGTTGTCCACTCCGAACGCCTTCGTTTTTTTGCTGTTTTTCCAAAATGGCGCTCCCGCTACAACGTTGGCTCCATTATCTGGCTCTCGCTCCTTCCAGATCATACTCCCGCTGCAAAACTGACCTGTTTTTTGGTGCAGATATGTCAAACTGTGTTCCCGCTATTACACCGCTGGCTCTCAATTTACGCTTGCACTCTTTCCGAACCGTCTCTTTACATGTTCCGTCTTGCGTCATGTCTGGTTTCCCTCAGAACATGTTGTCTAAATGAACCGCTTTCTCGACCAACGCTGGCTCTTTCTTTAACATCCGGTGTTTCTAGACCGTCCATTTGCAATTCCCGACCTGCGTCATGTCTGGCTTCCCTCAGAACCTGTTGTCGAACAAGAATAGTGCCCTCGACCCGACGACGCTAAACCGTGCTCTTCTACGCCGTGCTCTACCATGCATCTCGCACCCTCTCGGGATCACTGCCCTGCTCGACGTCCGACGGTGCGAACCAGAGGGGAGGCCCACGCCATGGCAAGGGCTGGGAGGGAGGGACAGGACGTCAGATAAGGCGCTTGCACCGTTCCTCCTCTCCCCTCCCCCCCCCTCGGCCAAAGGCAGGAACAGGGCACGGGCAGCGTCGGCGGGAGCTCTGTCCCACGCCGAGCTGCAGCCATTCTTTTTTGTTTGGGGGGGGGGGAAGGGCAAGACGCGTACACGTCGTTCACTTCTAGTCGTGCTCACTTCTAATTGTGCTCGTTTTCATCTGTTCCTGGCCCCTGGTGTGGCCAGGAAGAGGCCCAGGATAGCACAACCAGAGACGAAAGGATCCTGGCCCCCCCAAAAAAAATCAAAGAACCTCCGAAGAATCGGAAACGAACAACGTGAATCTGTGACGCGCCGCCGCGGGGGACCCGTCAGCGCTGCTGCTGCTGCGTATAGAGCCCGGAAGCCCTCCGGGCAGCACGCCAGGGAGGAGCACAACACGCCGCCTCGGCTCCCGGCGGCGGCGCGCCACTGCTGCGCTCCCTTTCTCTGGGGGGCCACATGCGAACCCTACCCCCTCCTCCTCCTCCTCCTCCTCCTCCTCCTCCTCCTCCTCCTCCTCTCCTCCTGCTCCTCCTCCTGCTCTCCTCCTCTCTCCCTCCTCCTCCTCCATCTCGTCCTCCTCGTCCTCGTCCTCGTCCTCGTCCTCGTCCTCGTCCTTCCTCCTCCTCCTCCTCCTCCTCCTCCTCCTCCTCCTCCTCCTCCTCCTCCTCCTCCTCCTCCTCCCCCCTCAAGCAACTTGGGCCCGAGCATTTTGCTGGGACCGACTCCAGTACCTGCGCGTAGGTGCTTGGGGCACACCAGTCTCGCACAATCTTGTTGAACACGTGCCAACTGGTGACCAAATCTGGAGTTCAAAGAGCAATGGCGGGAGGACCGAACATGGCCACAGGATGGTCCAAGTGCCATCACTGCAATCGTTGCGAATGGAACAGCATCCTGAAGTCCAATAATTTCCAGTGCAGCAGGTGCCACATGAAAGTCAAGCTGCACAAGCCCACGAAGTCGGACAGTGATGCCAAAACTAGAGCTGGCCATGTTCAGGATCCCCAAGGCACCCAGGCCAAGCCCGTCACCGAGATGGAGGCGCTGAAGCTCACCATCCAGACCACGACGGACGTCGCGCTGAAGGATACCCTCCAGCAGAAGCTCACGGCCATTCAGAACAGCCAGGCCTCAGAGGGCTCGGCTGCATCGGTGGGCGCGGCAGAGACGTTACGCAAAGCAGTGGGAGCCTGGAAAGACGCAGATTTCAAGCATGGACAAGCAGTAGCAAATGTAGTACGATTACGTGATTCCCTGGCAACGGCCGAGGCAAAGGAAAGGCGGCAGCCGAAACCTTAGCCCAGGCCACCCTGGTCAAGCAGCAAGCGACGGCAGCCCTGGCAAAGATCGAGGGCATCACGACGCCAAGCAGCCAGAACCAGAAGGACTCGGAGGTCAAGAAAGAAGGAGAGTACAACCCTAACTTCCAGATCACGTGGGACGAGAGCATGTTCACAGACCTGGACACAAAGGAGTACGAGCAAGAGGAGAAGGACATACTGATTGCCATACAAGCCGAGCTGACAACCTTCCGCACCAAGGTGCAGGGCTACAACTCGGAGGTCGAGAAGTGGCTCACTGAGAGTGCGGAGCTTCGTCAGAAGGCCCAGGACCGCGCTGCCAAGAAGCGCAAGGCCACTGGCGGCGCCCCCGAGCAGGACCCAGGAGCCTCGCCCGAGAGGGCTGGAGGCGGAGCGGCGCAGACGGCCCCTCCCACGGAGGCTGCCGACGCGCCAGCGACTGGGTCCAGCCAGGCGGCGGACGCCGCCATGAAGGCGCCGCCCGATGAGGCCACGGCTGAGGAGGCAGCGCAGAAGGAGCAGATAAAGCAGACGGCGCAGAAGTTGTCGGAGGCAAAGTTCGCAGCCCAAGTCCAAGCCCGCGGAGCCCGTGGAAAAGGTCAAAACCAGAGCACCATGGGCAGCGGCAAGGGCAAGGGCTTGACGGGCCAGCAGGCGCCGTATTGAAAGGATGACGCGGAGAGCAGCGAGAGTCAGCCTCGGCAGGCATCAGAGTCTCAGGGAGAGACTCCAGGGTCGAAGCCAGCCAACGAGGAGAAGACCAGCAAGCTGTTCTTCGCGAATGTCACCGCCATGGGGGATAAATGCTGGAGATTCATTGAATCAAATAAGGCATCGTATCAATTCTTCGGTCTAGCCGAAACGCATGTTGGAGCAAGTGAGGTTCGCAAGTGGGACACCAGCGCCCGCAAGAGTAGCCTCCGCCTGTTAGCCAACAAAGCACGCTCGACCAATAAAGTAGTTTGCAAGGGTGATCCAGCAAAGCCAACGAGGGGGGCGAGTGGGTACTCGCCCACGGCCACCTTCAGTGCAGTCAGTTAGCAGCTCCCGAAGGCGCCAAGGCCCTCCAGGCCAAGGGCCAGGCGTGTTGGGACGGTTTCATGCCAGTAGTAATTAAGTTTCAAGGTTTTGTGCTCGTTTGGGTTATTTTTTTTAATGCGTACCCGTCGATAAAAATGACTGGCACAAACCTGTCGCGGTTTCACCACCTTGGAGCGTTGTTGAATTCTCCCAGGGTGCCGTGGATCGTAGCAGGCGGCTGTAACATGCCAGCGTCAGTACTTTCTCACTCAGGCCTTTTGACCGCCGTTGGCGGGCAGGTGGTGCAAGCATCAGTCGAGACCACTTGTTCTACGGGAGAAAAAGGGTCCCACAGTGACTATTTGGTTTGTAGCCAGTCCGCCAGAGCCCTCATCAACCCTGTCATGCCTGTAGCTCAAGTGCCGTGGAAACCCCACATAGGCCTTTCCGTAGAACTCCGCTGTGCTGGGGCCCAGTTGGAGACTAGAACCCTTAGATTGCCTGCAAAGCTTCCACAGGAGCCAAGACCAGTTGCCACAGCCGTGCCCTGGTCCAAATCAGCTCTTGCGAGGTCGAAGCGCCAGCAGAAGCAAGCACGCACCAAGGCCAAGAGGGCCGAGGTGTATTCAGAGTTGTTTGGGGACCGCGTGGAACCCGAATCGTCAGCCGCGCCTCGCCGAAGAGCTCAGGGTGGCGACGAGGGGAACGCGGCTTTTAATTTTGAATGTGATGAGGATTTCGAAGCATGGCCAGAGGACGACTGGCTGACGCAGGAAATCTTCGAGGCTGAAGCTGACCTTATAAGTGCCACCCCGACCCCCCCTTTAAGCAGCCAGGCCGACCCCCAGGGAGATATACCAAGTTTCGAGATCCCTGAGCAGACATGGAGGGAGTGCCACCAGAATGTTGGATTTATTCCTGAAGCTGACTGCCCACCCCCAGGCTACTTTCTCGACTCGGTCAGTAGCCGTTCTGGCTCAAGCAATCTTGGCTCCATCAGCGCCCACTTCGCCTCGTGGGTCACCGCGTTGGAGGATACGATTTACACTCATCATGCATGTGGGGCCCCGCCTGGCGCCCGCAGAGCAGAGAGTGCCAGTTTTCACAAGTCAATGGTCCAGCAAGGGGCTTCACTTGGAGAGGCCCAGCCATTTCAAGGCGAAGTTGCGAACTGGTGGACGCAGGTGAGTACTATCGCAGCGGGCCTACAAAAGCATCGAGAACGACAAAATGGGAAACAAACAAGTCGAGCATGTACTGGAGTGTTGCAGCAGCTTGGCCAATGATATTCCAGACAAAGCTTCGAATATTCTTACAAAGCTGGAACCAACTTTCGATAGTGTGGTCAGAGTTTTGAGAACAATCAAAGATCAATCAGATTCAGTGGTCAAAAAAGTTGCAGCCCTCACACGGAAAGCGAGTAAACGGTCCCAAGCTCGAGCTCTCCATGCATCAATGGAAAAGTTCCGAACGTGGGTAGATTCTCAGGAGGCAATGGGATGTCTGCATACATATATCAAGGAACAGCCGCTGCCGCCGCAAGAGTACGAGACAAGTGACGGGAAGATCATATCCTCGCCGAAAGAAATGATCGACGCCAAGGTGCCCAAGTGGATAGGTATCTGGGCGCCACCGTTGCTGAGTTATGAAGATTTGGACAGAGCTTTTGGAGAGGCTCGTACGGCAGCAAACGTCAACCCCTTGTTGCCATTAGAGCCAGATGACATCAGAAGAGCGACAAAAAAATGAGGCCTAATGTAGGCCAAGGAGTTGACAGATTATCACCGACGGACATTGAAAGACAATCAAATACAGCCTTGGAAGAGCTTTCTGAATTGCATCAGTCAATTGAATCCAATTTGTGTTGGCCTGTACAAACTCAGTTGGTGATTGGACATATGACACCAAAACATCGTGGAGATGGTGACAGAGTGATAGGATTAATGTCAATGCTGAGCAGAGTGTGGCCGCAAGCTCGGGACTCACACGTAGCTGAGTGGTCAACGGCAACGGCCCCCAAGTGGGGCGCTGCAGTGGAGGGCAATGCAGCCCTTAGAGAAGCATTCGTAAGAGTATTGGACGAGGAGTTAGCTGGAATTTTGAACACGCCCCTCGGACACGGACTCATGGATATAAAAGGATTCTATGACACAATAACGTGGTGTAGACTAATAACTTGTGCATTAAGGCTGGGGTTCCCTGCCCGGATCCTCTATCTGGAACGATTAAGTTGTGCAGCGCCGAGAACGCTCCGACAATCAGGAGCATTCTCAGAACCCTTCAGCCCAACACAGTCAGTGGTGCAAGGATGTAGAGGAGGAGCGAGAGTTGCAAGAGCAATGGTTTACTTCATATTGGAAACAGTAACTGTTGCGCATCCAAACTTCACGCACAGAATATGGATTGACGACTTGAGCCAAAGCACAAAAGGATCCAGAGACATGAGTAGAAAGCAATTGGTGCAAGTACTGGTGGACACATGCGATGGATTGAAAAAGCAAAAGCTCAAAGTGGCAACAAAAAGTGCTGTGCTGTGTACTTTCATGGATGACGCCAAATATGTAGCACGGAAGGTTCGACATGCAGGATATCCACTGGAGGCCTTATCCCAAGTGTCATACTTGGGGGCGGATTTATCAGGGGGACGTCGTCACGGTCGAGCGGTCAAACGTAAAAGGATGAACAAGCGGGTGTTATGAGTGCAAAAATATAAAAAAAAAAAAAAAAGCTTGCTGCCGCCACCCGCCGATACAAACCAATGATCAGACTTGAAAAGCAGGGAGCGTATGCAGCAGGGTCGTATGCACATCAATTGCACGGATGTTTCGGACAGCAGCTGCAAACGTTCAGAACGCGTCTGGGGGCCATCAGCGCAGCCCCCACGTCAGGAAGGTGCCTGGCAACATTATTGGCGTTAATGTGTCCCGATTCAGATCTTGGAGTAAAAATGCCAGCAGAGTGCCTTCAGCTATGGTTCAGAATGTGGGCGTTTGAAGGGAAATCAATGCAGCCAGCGGTCAAAAAAGTACGGAGTGCAACTGTTGAACGGCTTGTTGCCCTGCAGCCAGGTCAAAGACATCGCCACATACGAGGACCCCTGACAGCTGTAATCACCTATTTACTTGAAACGGGGTGGACACCCACCTCAGCCGAGTCATGGGATAGGAAGCCCAGACCCGATGGAGAAATAATAGAATGGAATTTCCCACCAGAAGCTTTCACAAAGTTTGCGTCAGTGGATACAGCAGGCGACCTCATTCGGGAATTCAAAGAGGACCGCCAAAGTATGTATTGGCAACAAGCCAGTAAACACTATTGTGGAGAAGGATTGGAAGAAGGAGCAGATATGTACAGTTATACCCAGCTTATCAGACAACTCAGAGATGTGCCTCAAGGGCACAGATTGTCGGAGCGAATGGTGGCCATCGCAACGGGGGGAACTTGGCCAAGGCAACGTCGTCACAAGTGGGCCCCAACCAAAGTGGATAATCTTTGCCCTCGGTGTAAAAGGTCGCCAGAAACTATGTTTCACAGATGCTGGAGTTGCGATGAAAACAAAAATTCAAAAGCGTACACAGTAACAGACGAACTATTGCCAGAAGCGTACAGCCAACACGAAGCCACGCAATGTTTCTGGCTGAGAGGTCTGATACCCAAATCGTGGACAGCTGTATCGCCGCCGCCGCTTGACTATAACTGGAAATACGGAGGACGACTCAACTCAAGCAAAAAAAAAACGCTCGGAGTCGGATCGCAATCCAGGCCAGTCTGTGTTGCAGGTGATGTCAGTGGGGGAAAGGACACCATGGACCCCCGCCTTCGTAGGGTAGGAGTGGCCAATGTTCAATTAGACCTCCCAGGGGACCAAGATGAGCCCTCCAATGAGGCCTTGGACATCTTGGGCGCAATTCATGGGGCCCTCCCAGGGCCGCGCCAGACGGTAGCGAGAGGGGAGCTTGCAGGACTCCTCTTAGCGTGTCAGGCCTCGGCTGGGCATCTTATATATATTTGCGATAATCTTGGCGTCGCTTCTGGCTTTTATAATAAGAAGTATTTAAACCCAGAGGGTGAAGATTCCGATCTTTGGGAGAAGCTTGGTCAGGAGTTTCTCCGAGGTCGTGACCCCTCCTGTGTAACAGTGCTGTTTGTGAATTCCCACCTAGACGGCAAGGCTGTCTTTCAGGGGCTGTTCCCAGAGTGGTTGATTTTAGCCAATGCTGCAGCAGATGCAGCAGCCGAAGTTGCGTCAGAGGAATGCCGAGTCCCTGCAAATGATAGGCACAGTGTCAATTTAATTGAGAAAAAGGCGTTTCTTGTGCGACACAGATTGTTGCGGGCCACACTTGATGCCACGGAAGTCGAGAAAGAGATTGCTGCCAGTGAGCGAAGGAGAAATATGGTTGGTCCTGACGCCAGCGTCCTCTCCCCTCCCCCGCCCCCTGGCCAAAAGTCAGCTTCTGTTTTTTGTACAGAGCATGTCCTCACAGACCGTGGCAATGGATGTCAGAGGTGCGGCAGCACCGCGACCCAGGCTGAGCTCCTTGAGTGGAGAAAGAGCCCATGTTTCGAATTAAATAACCTAGGAGGCGTGTTTCGGTCTCTCCCTGAGGAGGCTCGGTTACACCTGGCGGGGGGTTGGGTCCATCAAACGCACCAAATGCAGTACCATTCGGGATTACAGACCTGGTTTTGCATAAGTTGCGGTTTCTTCGGCCAAGCCCAGCTCGTTAGCTTAGGAAAGGAATGCCCGAATGTAATACCTAAGCACCGTCAGGAATACCTAAGCCGTATTTCCCGTCATCTTCCTCCGAAGGTTTTAAGCAGGGCTGAGAAGGAGAAGAGGGGCAGGCTTTAGGGGGGGGGGGAGCGGTCGTCCGTCGTGAGCGAGCGAGCGGCGACGGCGCGCGCGCGCGGCGCGCGCGCCGCCCCTCCGTTCACCAACTTCAAGGACGGCGGCCGCCCCGCGCGCGCGCCCGAAGCGCGCGTGCTGCCCCCCCCCGCCCCCCTCCTTCTGCCCCTGCCTGCTGCTGACAAGACTTAGTCTTTGCCTCACTCACTCACTCCTCCTCCTCCCCCTCCCCACGATTCCTGAGGGGGAGGGTGGGGTTCACTTCGTTCAGGAGCTTCCGAGCGAGGTGAACCCCACCCTCCCCCTCAGAAATCGTGGGGGGTAGGGGTAGGGTTCGCATGTGGCCCCCTATGTCTCCCTCCCGAGCTCCAAGCTCGCCTCGGCCTCCCCGTACTTGCTCGGTGCAAGCGTGCAAGACGCCCCGCGAAACGGCCTCCCCCCCACGTCATTTTAGCACGTGCCTCGACGTCTTCCCGCTCTGAATGGTTTTGCGCCATCTGCGGCGGGGAAGGCCCAGAGCTTCTTCCTTCCCGAGCGGCCTCCCAAAGTCCCGGGACACGTCATCAAGACGTCCGGAGCCCGTCGGAGAAGGCTCCTGCATGGCGCAAGACCACCCCTGGACGGCCACAGAAACCCAACGAGAACCCCCCCCCCCTGGCAGCATCACGCTGTCCAGAGTGCCCCAAGTCGGCGGCGAGCGAGGGGGGGAAACGAAGAGGAGAAGGCCTTCTCAGAAGGCGGCGGGGCTTCTCAGATGCCCTCGCGCCTTCGGAGAAGTGTTCTATGGCCTGCGGCATGTGTGCGGCCCAAGGGGGTCCAGGGACATAATGGAATAAGAAGAGGCGCCATGAAATCCAGGGAGATATCATGGCCCCCGCCATGATATCCACCCCCTCCTAGTCATCGCCCCCCTCTTTGCCGCCCCCAACCAAAGACCCCTCCGGGCGGCACCGGGAACCATCCCACAACGTGGCCCCAGATACTCCCCGAGACAGCCCCATGCGAGCCAGAAGCGCTGGGTAATCCGCAGGACACTGGCTTGCCAGCACGTTCCCTGTGGAGAGCCCTGAACCCCCGAAGGCCATATGCGGGGCCGACAGAACTCCCGGACCCAAACCCCCGACGTCGTAATTTTTTCATGACGTCGACCCCCAGAGGTCTGGACCCTTTCCCCGGGACCAGTTTTTCATCCTGAGTCGTTTGTTGACGCTCCCGCGGCCCGGTGAGGACCTCCAGGGAGCGAAAATGATGAAACAACTTCCGTCGTGATTTTTTCACGACGCGAGGGGGTCTGGGGACGACGAGCGTGCACCCCCCAAGGGCTTCTAACAATCGGACTTCGGGTCGCAGAAGTCTGCGCTCGGGGGACGTCTGCCGAGCACCTCACGGAACCCTGGCGGAAGCAATACTGGGCCCAAGATGGGCCCGGCCAGGATCGGTGATGTGGCCAGTTGGTGAGAGGAGGCGGAGGAGGAGGAGGAGGAGGAGGAGGAGGAGGAGGAGGAGGAGGGGGAGGAGGGGGAGGGGGAGGCGAAGGAGGAGGAGCAGGAGGAGGAGGAGGAGGAGGAGGAGGAGGAGGAGGAGGGCCCCCCGAATGTGCATGCCAACCTGGATGCGGCATCGCTTTTGCTTCGGCCGCGGGCGAGCACCTCACTCCACGCCCGCGCCGGGCAGGAACGGCTCGTTCAAGACGCCCTCCAGCACATGGCGGTCGAAGCCCTTGGGATGCGCCGCCTGGTCGCCCCAGCGCCCGCGCCGCTCCAGCAGGTGCTGCTCGGTCAGCTTCAGCGTCGTCTGCGAGTACTTCAGCTCCTTGTTTGTTAAAGTCGGGGCGTTGACCTAAGGAACCCTAAACAAGCTTTGAGGCCCCTTTTTTCCATAAGTTAAACTTCGATTTCCCATCGAAAACATAAGGAACACCTGAGGCAAGCTGTGAAACAATTA